GGGCGGGGGCGGGGGCGGGGCCGTTGCCCGCCGCCGACACGCCCTCCTCCCCGTCGGCGCCCTCGCCAGCAACCAGCGCGCTCTGCTCCACATTCATCACATGGCGAATCTGTGAACAAGCCAACCAGTGACCCTACAGTCCAAATGTCGTTTAATTGAAATTATGTAAATGTGTGTAGGCTACACAAGCAGATGCGTGTGTCATTCGTCTGTACGTCTCATAGAACACTAAATTCTCCAATCAAAAAATGAAGAATGAATTGTTGATAGAGACCAGAAAAGATTGGCCATGATTTTATAACTGCTGAACCTTTGAGAAAACTTTTGAGTACGAATAAACATCCGTAGAATTCTGTGTAAAACATTATATAAGTACAATTACTTCGTGTAAATATTTACATTTTGTACACAAATTTGTTGCAAAACATGTGCTTGGTCGATACAATCTCCAGCCAAGAAGTCGCAGAGATAGCAAGCCGCAGAATTAGAAATATAATAGGAACACTCGGGCAATAGACACTTAGACGAGCAATAATCACGTAAGTAAAAACGGCTTCTCCCAGGCAGCCAAATACGAGTAGTTACTGACACCGGCTGCGGAAGCTTACGCTCTCCCTAATCATGTAAGAACACGCTCAAAAGAAATTGAAAAGTGAAAGAATGCATGAAAAAGACCACAAATGTATAATTTCCGAAAGGTAAATTATAAGATCAGTTATACGGTGCATCAGAAAGTAGTACTTGCTCGCACCACCTGAATAGTGTAGGAAACGTGAAGATCGTGTTGTGGAGAATGAGAGAACAATTTTGTGGCATAGCCAAGAACTGAATAAAATCTTTCTCCCGCAACCCTTTCTCTTTCCTCATGTCACAATTTCCGGAAATATTATCTCAACGCCCATCGACATGTTCTATCTGAGCAGTTTCTTGACTCTTATCTTTGCACGGTAGGCAGGTCAACTTTGCTTTTGAATCAGTCTTTTACATGATATATAGATCTTAATAACTATAGATATTGTGTATTTCTAATTACTATTTTTACGACCGGATTCTTCCCTCATTGCACCATCAGGAACATTCACCAGGTCACTTCTGGTCTAAGCTCGCGACACAAATTCAATCGATTGACTTCGAATAATAAGTACATCCCTGGAACTCTCTCACAACTCTGCTGTGTTCAACTGATCCACATTGCACGTTTTGTATATTTCAGTTTTATTTCAGTCGTGATTGTTGGTAGTATGCTGATATTTTAAGTCTCCTTATTCCCTCTTGCATCAACGGTATATTCTTAAGGGCTTTCTTGTTGTAAATCGAATCCTGGCTCTTATTATTGACAATTGCATAATAGATAATCAACGCTGTTTTCTGCAAGCTGTTTAGAAGTATTATCTCCGGGTTATTGTTGGGATTAGTTGTGTCTGATGGGCTTCTGGCCTAATGAAGCTTTTACTTATTTTCCGAGATTATAGAAGAATAGTATTTGTACAAGGGGCATTCAGAAAGCAGTACCAGTTTTCTAATAAAAAGAAACTAGTATATTTTAACAAATATTAATATTTTATTTGTAAAAAACATACTTTAAACTACTTATCCACATAGATTGTTGAGAAATCTAATCACAGTCCTAATTTCACAACTGGCGGAGTTCTCTATTTTCTTGAACACTATAAACACTCACAGAAAGAACACAGACAGTACCAGCGAGGCGTAATTTTGCACACTGACAGCTAAAATATAACTAAAAATGATAGAACTTGTCCGGTGGTCCTTCTACTCACCACTGCTTCACACAGTACAAACCGGTACTACTTTCCGGACGTCCTACGTAATATGGTATATCATAGAACACCAATTCGTACTTTCGTGATTTGTACATGCGAACGTTCGCCCATAAATGATTTTACCCCTATTGTCATGTCAAGCTTTGGAGACTGGGTGATTTCATGCTGTGCGCCACGCCTACATCACTTTTTGGGGAGGGGTCTGTTATTATGAATAGTAAATAATTTCTCGTTGCAATTTATTAATGATAATCTACTTTTGAATAGTTTTGTTATCTGCATTACAAACCGTATTCTTGCCTGATAGTTTATTGGGATACCTACGATGTTACTCTTAAAGGCATCACTGTTGTACTATACTTTCTTTGTTTATTTTCTTTGTTTGGAAATGAGCATTTACAGGGTTTAAGGTAGTGAGATTTAAATCAGCCCCTGTTGAGGCTTTGCGCTTTATGTACTATCTAAATTAGGGTTGCGTCCGGAGCAGGCGCTCTGCGGTTTATCTTAGGATCATTTGTGAGAGGGCTCCCAAAACCGCTGTCAACGCTAACATGGATACAGACTGGGGAAGCGGGGATGTTTAGGAAATTATGAGAAAGTGCTTTCAAATGGCAAACAATGTCAGTTTATTGCGTCCAGGACATGTAGAGTTCTGGCGGAGGTGGCGTAATGACCTCATAAATTTTCCTGTTTTCTATACAAGGCTCCTCTAGCGCTAAAGACGGGCAGACAGCCCAGAGACAGTCACACACTTTTTAACGTGACACACAGGTTTCAACTGTTTTTGACGTTCACGCTGCTCTGCAACTCCACTTCTTTCATGAAACTTATTTTCATACTTCATCGGACTTGGTCTCTTTATGCGAAACCTCGCTACTGCCACGCTCCTCCAGGGAACATAGCTTCCCCGCGAACTCAATATTTTTGCATCCTGAACTGGAAGTATTTGTAATTGCCTGCAATCACGGCTAGTAGCACAACTCCTGCAGCAAAAGGCATTACACGGACCGATTTCGAATGATCACGATATTGGATCATTTGGTTTCTCGCTTGCCAATCCTTTGCTTTAAGGCCTGTATGACTCCGTTTTATATTCACTGAGAACGTGAACCCAAGAACAGCGTATAGGATTTACTTTACAGAATTACATCATTACATTGGTGGCATCTATCCTTTCATCCTTCCTAAACCAAGACAGAAGATAGTGCCCAAGATAATGCTAATGGTGTCAATGGTGATGCTAATAATGAAAATTAAGTGACAATATTACTTTATTATAACTAGGCTCATAAGTTTGCAAAATGGCATTTTTAATTATTATTAATTTGGTTTTAAGACTGACCTTCTTTTTAAATGGATTAGTCTGGCATTCTGGAATACTTTAAGATTTTCCTTTGCCTTTTTTGGCCTATTTTAGCTTCTTATGTCTGTGTTAAGTATTTTGTCTTATTTAAAACTTTTCCTCTATTTAGGTTATAATAATAATAATAATAATAATAATAATAATAATAATAATAATAATAAGTATTATTATAATTATTATTATATTTTTTCTTCAGACACATTTCAAACAAACAGAAAACTTATCAGCAAATATTGGCAATATTTGTTTTATCTTCATCTGAAAGCTGAGGCTTGATATCAGGTAAATGTTGAAATCAGGCTTCAGGGCAAGCATAAGTTAAAAATCAATTCAAAAGCAATCATTGATGCTGAAATTGATGCACTCTTTCAATGATGCTCACAGATTTTCTTGGGCCATTAGAAATTCCACACCCTCCTTGAGATCCCTTCAATCCCTTTCAAGGACAGCTCTTTGTTCATAACACACAATATCAACCACATCAGTGATGTAAATTAAATGATATTTATGAACAAAAACAACACACAAGAAAATAGCCTTATTGTAAATATAAGAAAAAGTAAATTATTAATTTCTTTTTAAAAAAAAAGGTCATTCCATTTATTGTAATGATGGTTTTGAACCCTTGATGAAATCTCATGTAAAAAATGTATCATCTCAATGCTGATTTTTTATTGATTCTCGTCTGATATTGAAGCTTCGGGATGATTAAAGAATGACAATAATGGATTGCTTAATGAGGAGTCAGATCTGGACTACAATAACACCTAATGTATGCTCACTTTTTCCAAACTCAAGGTAGTAAAATGTGCTTGGAAGTCCAAATTCAGCAGAATTATTTAGTCACACAATTTCAAGCGCATAAAATCATTGTTTTTATCATTTACAAAATATTTCAAACGTCAGTAATTTAATTAATAAATTAAAAATATTATTTTTCTTATTGCTTTGCAATAAACAATTTCCACTAGCAAAACTCTTTACCTTTATTTTTATTTCTTTACTTATTCACATTTATAAATCTCCAATATGTTAATAACAAAAAAATAATAAGGTACTATAATACTTACAGACCTGGGTCTGAGTAATAAAATTAGTAAAAAAGAAATAACAATTCTAACAGCTTAATTTATTTCCAATAATATTCCTTCATAATCAACTGTTCAAGATTCACAACAACTCTGAAACGGTCGTTAAAAAAAAAATGTTTTCGAAAAATACTTCAACATTTTCATAAATATGATGTGCAATCCCGTAAACAGATTATTCATCCGTAAAGTTTAACTTAATAATCTTAATAATGAAACTAAAAACATAAAATTTTCTATTCATTAACTGTTATGAAATTACGCAGTTCACTTTCACAATATTTAAGTTAAAAATCTCTCTCTCATCTTCCATAACAGTTCAGCAACAACATTCTTCAACAAGTTCAGATATTAATTTACAAAACATTAATATAACAGTACGAGTTCACACTGTTAAATTTGAAGGTTTTTTTGGTGTGAACAGCTTAATTTCTGCCTTTGACAAAACCACCCACCTAAATTATATAAGGTTTACTGCACTTCTATATTTTTTTCTATTCTATTAACATAATTAATACACAAAACATTATCAACATACCTTTCCAGGAGATGATTTGCGCACCTCCCAAGCAAGAGATGTTGGTCTTTGTGGTGGTGGGGTGTTTTCATACTCCCATTTGAGTTTGAACCATTCTATCAAATTGTGAAAATCACGAGTATAATTTTCAAGTACCAGAATTACTTCCTGTTACCACAGAACATAAATTAATTTATGAAGAACATCAAACTTCATTAAACATCACATGCTCTAAAAATAAAAACGAGATACCTTGCATTCAGAAACATTTTCATCAGTTTCACAAGTTTGATATATTTCATCAACAGCACGCTGGAGATTTCCAAATAGAAAAGCCCAATAACGAGCTTGTAATTCTGATTTCTTGTCTCTGCCAGTTGAAGCAGAACGCACTCGAGATCCTGCTTTCAGAGTTTCACATGCTCGTTTTGTTGAACGCAAGCCATCATCTCGCTTGATCTCTCCAGTTGGTCTGGGGGATGTTGGTGGCTTGCGTGACAACACTCTACCTGCTCATATATGCACCAGTTTATTAATTCATTAGCTGAAGAAACAAATATAATAAAATAATTTTAACTTGTTTTTACATTATCTTACCAATTTGATTAGTGTCTGATTGAGACTGATCAACAGGCACATTAAATGCTATTAAGTTTCTAGCAGCCCTTCCTTCTTCTTGAACAAGAAGTCGTACTTCTTCCATTTTTAATTCACCATAGTCACATTTACGACAGAAAATGTAACGCCTAATCTTTCACATGACACATCTAAGTGACACATAACCTCACCATGAAACAGCTTTGGCAGCAAAGAAGCCATGAACATAAATTTGTCACTATTGAATAGTGTCTTGGAGATTCAAAACTGAAATTCAAAATATGCTATCAGTATAATAATGACATGGCTACGTAAATGTACAGTATTCAAATTATCAAAGGATTATTGTGACAGAAGAAAATACATCTGTACCTGCATGGTAGCCAACTTCTCAGAATTCCAGAAAAGATACGCATTCTACAAACAAAAAAATGGAACAGAGTGTTAGGTCATAAATCACGTTTCTCTCTACTTCACAAATGACGTAATTAACGAACTCTATTTAAATCATTTTATCAAATTTTTTGAAGGGATTATATAACTATTGGTGAAAAAGAAATGGGTAGGCGACGCGCGTATCGTTATGAAAAACGGGAAACAAATCTTAAAGAAAAAATTTGAAACTGTTGCCTCGAAATTCAAAATTATCCAAAACGTACTAATAGATTGTAAATGGTCATTTATATTACGTTGCTTCTTGTTAAACTCTTCTCTCCCTACACATTTGTATACTGACCAGCTCCTATCTGACTATTGTAGTCATAACTTGGTCGTAGCAGGTCCGATTTAACCAATATAACTACTATATATACTCTTTGTAACTACCTAGCTTACGAAAAACAATTGATTGGCTTTACCGAATTAAAATTAAAAAATTCCATCAATTAACATTTCTTATGCCTGTAAATTTTATTTTTTTTCCTTTACTTCTACGATGACTATCGACTGTCTCTACAGGCATCATGTTGGTAAACGTGAGTGTCACATTAGCGGAATATTTTCAATCCCGGAGTTCCCCTCATTCAAATTACTCTTGGGAAATGCGTTAGTCGGATTCTAACATTATCGAGTGTTGAACAAATAAATATATGGTAATTTTTCCTTACCTGCGACTTGGGTAGTCATAAAGCCTTCTACGCATTTTGCAAGTAACATAAATTTATTTAATTTCCCTTTTATTTCCACAAGTCATCAGCAACCAAAAGGGGTGGTTGGAATAAGCAAGGGCTTAATTAAAATTAAATAATACATCCATTTGTATAATATTTATTGATAATTTAATCTACAGTGATTTTTCATACCCATACAGCATCACCAATGTCAAGAAAGTACATGGAAGGATTGTTTCAAGTCTCCTGACTGCAAGACTGACACATTTCCATTGATGGGATATTGAAGTCAGAATTGCTTGCATTTGTTTTTAGTGCTGAATGATTTTGCATATACTTGTATGCTCTGAAATGCTTCACTCAAACTTCTACTCATAACAAAATGAAATTACTAGCATTTTACGTATCAAGTCATCTGAAAATATGGAAATTATACAGCATAGAGCAATGAATTTCTATTGTTAGCCATCAAAACTGATGCCACAATGGCATACAAAACTGAGCTATGCAGCAAAAAATATTTTCCCTACAGTACAAATAATTCAACTCTGATGTTTGCAGGAACTTCAAAATATTTACACACATCCTGCTGACCAGATAAAAAACAATTATTGTTTCAATAAGTAATCTTTGGTTGTTGCTATTAATCATAAAATCACATGATTCTAATGAAACATTAAGACTTGCACCATAACAAATAACATACAGAGGTATCTCTAAAGTAACTTGTATTAAACATATTCTGGAACCATTTTAAAAATGAAAACTGGAATATCTATACAAAATCCAAGAGGAATGGCCTTGTACAAAAAAAAATCAAAAAGTGCTGCTCATTATACTCTAAACTAGTTCAGATAACTTTTGAAATCTATAATTTTGCTCTAATAGTTAAAAGTCATACTCGGAAGACACCTTTCAAAGGCTTTTAAAAGTTTATCACAACAAAATGATTTGAAACAAAAATGAACAATCAAGACATGGATTGATTTGATAAAATAGCTAAAATTGAAAAGTACTAAAGCAAGAGCAAGCAATGTACATACAACATATGCAATATACAACTTCAAACTGAAATATTTTATGAAAATTAAAGCACTCTCCACAATGGGAAATAGAAACAAAAAAATGTGACACAATGGTCAATGAAAAACCTGCATTAGGAATGATCTCCTATGCACATTATTCAGCACAGTAGTAACAAGACAGTATTAGCAATATCTTGTAACTAAATTATCTGAATAATGTAAGGGTGAAAATTTTCACTTTAGGCAGAAAGTCGATGCGGAAACATTTTGACCAGTTATAACACACCAGTCACAAGTGTGCACAACGGAAAAACTTCAGCAAATATCAATGCATTCTATCAAAATCACCAGTATCAAAATGATAAGTTCAAAATTCCAATCAAGCAAGGAATGTGGTATTTGTTTGGGGAGATACTGGCAGAGTGACCCACTGAAGTGCAGCTCCCACAAACAAAGAAATATTGGAATAGTGTTGTCTCCATTTAAAATGAAACAACACTATAACATTGAGTTGGAAAGACTGCCATACATTATTTACACATATGAATCCATAATAGAGCACTGTACACGAACAGACATAAGTACTTTACATAAGAGCTAAATATATATATATTTAAATTGGTCCTCAGAAAATACATAACTTAAGATTAGGTGAACACCAATTGAAATGTACCCAGGTACAAAACATGCACAAATACTCCTTTTCAACTATAATAAGTATATAATATGTCCTTTTTCAATTCAAGTATACGATCTGTCAACAAGTCATTACTGAGAAAAGACTTAATAAATAATACAACACATATTTTTTTCATATTATTTTGTATGCCGGTAAATACACATAACCAAAGTACCCAAAATTACACAATACTTTTGATGGCAGCACAAATAAAATAACAATCAAACAAAATTGCTTTGCAGTATAAAATTTACAGCAATACAGAAGCATCAGTTCAACATGTGATCTGATTTCATGAGATTATAATACACTAAAATAAAAGGAGTATATAATCATTAAATATCATTCGCTATCAGACAAAATACAAACAAAAAAGTCACAAAAACAAATAGTATAGATTTAAAATGATTGTCAATAAATTTATCTTCTTTCTTAATATGTAAAAACTGGCAGGCCCCCCTACACAATTCTTTATTCTTTTCAGTCTCTTTACAACATTTCATTGACGATGACACAAAAGCACCAACTGTAATTACAGCACAATTCCAAAGTGGTAAAACATGTACCTAGCAATACACACGCAGGTCACTCTGTTCTATTTTGATCTGTAAAAGTCTTATATCTTTTGCATATTATCTAAGTTTGTTGCAATTGATTCAACTATCACCTCTTGCTTATTCCTGAATAACGCCTAGGCACACCAAGAGCCAAGGCCATCTCCCACTCTCACTATGTACAAAAAATGAAAGACGTACACACTCTGCAAGAAATCTCAACACTTGCTTATGTACAAATACAGAACACAAATTACAATTAACCAACAAAAAGATCACAGTCACTGACACATGACTCATGATGCAAATAACACTTTGACACAAGTTTGTACAAATCTACATTTCCAATACACAATATAATGAACATTGGGAAGAATAATGTAAAGAATTAGAGGAAAGATAATATATACACTATAATACAGGTCAGTCCGCCTTTGAACACAGGAACATAGATTAGTCCACTCCTGCAAAACCTTGCGATCCTTCAATAGCTTTTACAAGCTTGTCTCGCAACTGCTGATAACTATCATATGGAGGAAGATCCAAGCGATTGAAACTGCAACAAGATACATCAAATACCATGAATCAACTGAAGAAATACCAACACAAATAATTAAAATACACCAAAACTAGTTAAAAAATTTAAGGTCTTACATATAGAAATATTTTTCTCACAGCATTAAATTTCCTGAATTGTAATAATGAAATAAAACCTAAATTATGCAATATACATCACTGGTTAGGGAAGGGGGGAGGGGGAAAAAAAATGGAAAACCAATATGAAATTTATTAGTAATTTATAAATATTTTTTAGTAAAAACTTAGTTGAAAGAGATACCTGTAACTACTTAAAATTCAAGAAAATCATGTATCTATAGAAATAAAATTTCTTCACTGAACATACCATGTGTGAGCCCGAGGATAGTTCTCAGGCTGACCCCATTTTTCTATAGTAAATAACTGAGGTCCATTGCTACCATACAATTCCTTAAAGCCATTCATGGGCACTCGAGAAGTTCCTGTCACAAACTGAAGCAAGCGAGCTCTCATTTCATTGTTGAAGGACAGCACAACCTGCAGTAAGAAAAATTGTTATTTGTATTAATTACAAAGTGAATAGCTTCATGTATTAAAAGAACACAGATGGACAAACAAACAATTTTATATACTAAAATACCATGTTAACACAGTAATGACTTATATAGTCCTATTACATAAAAAAGAGATAAACACTAACAACTCTCTAATAGTTTGTCAGAACAGAAGTCTGCAAGTCCAAGTATTTTTGCACGCTTAACATTTCAGAGTACTTACATAATAATCACCAACACCTATTAGTAATAGCAATATTACAAGGATGATTTGAACCTTCAGGTTCAGATTTGAGAAAATTAAAACTTTCCCTTCAAAAAATTATTTAATTGATAAGCGAGGTGCAGATTTGTAGGCACGAAAAACTGTAGAAATAGGTAGGCAAAATAGGCATTTAAAATTGTAAAAAAGGCATTTAAAATGTAAAACAGGCATTTAAAAACATAAAATGGGCATTTAAAAACTACAGATTTTCTTTTCTTTTCTTTATTTAAGAACTTGTGTAGAAAGTTTCTGAAGTAAACGTAATTCAGTTATTTTCATGAATGGTTTGCTTTCATCTTTGTTCTGACAAATCCTCATAGAAATCCTTTCTTTCATTGTTGAGCAATTTGGCCAAAAAAAAAAAGACTGAATCATATTTATTTGCTTTTCATTAAATGTCAGCTGATCCTCTGATGCTGCACAGTATCATCCTTTTTCTCTCATTGAATGTAAAGATAATTGAAAGCACAGAACGATTTGTTTTAATCGCCATGCTTAACACAAATGTTGTAACTAGTAGTGTTACAAAAGCACATATTTTCTCACTTTATTTCTAAAAACTATTTCAAAATATCTAATTTTCAAAAATTTACAGTTTAACAAAATAGATTGTGCCATTCTTTTAAGCGTCCTTTGTTCTATATAGAAAAAATTGTAACAGTTTTTGAGAATTATTTTTATAATTTGAATAAAATTATAAAAACACATTAAATTTTCTACCTTAGGATCATAAATTGACTGCTTCTATTGATCCTGAATCTTTTGGACGTTTATCAATATGTCTACTAGGCACACTGAGTTACCAGGTGTTTTGCATTTGGGTACGAATTGCTGCAGTGCTTTTTCAGAAATTGCCACCTTATTTTCTACTCATTTTTTAATCAATTACTAAACACAATTTCAAAAATATTCTAACTACTACTGTCGACTTTCAACATCATTCTATGAACAGCAATATCAATTTACATTATCTGAAATTCTTCTTGCTCTAAGGCATTTGAATTTAGGTAAGAGTGCTGGAACAGATGAGATCCCCAATAGTTTTTTGAGCAATTGCAAATTTGCTCTGGCACCATCACTAAGAGCACTCTTTAACCAATCCTTGGACATGGAGATTTTCCCCACAGCTTGGAAATATTGTAAAGTTGTCCCTGTATTCAATAAAGGAGACAAAAGTGATATTTCAAATTACCGTCCTATTTCCATTCTCAGTGATGACTCAAAACTCTGACACACGTGTGGTAACACAATTTTACACAATTATTTCTCACTACCAACATGGTTTTACTAACAATGGATCTACAACTAATCCAGCTATATTTAAAAACTATATAATTAAAGCATTTGAATTTAGTCCTCAAGTCGATGCTGTATACACAGATTTTGCCAAGGCTTTCAACTGTTTTAATCATGACATATAGATTGACAGGTTGTCATACTTAGGCAACAATGATACACTCCACACATAGATAAGCTCGTATCTTTCCAGCAGTCTGTATGTCGTTGTTACTGGCCATCTATCTAAGCCATTTGTAGTTAGTTCTGAAGTACCTCAAGGCTCTCATCTAGGTCTAACTTTGTTTAATATTTTCATTAATTATAATTATCTGTCATCTGTTATCAAACATAGTAAAATCTTATAGCTTGTCGACACCAAAATTTATGCAAAGATTACCGATTTTAATGACACCTACCACTTGCAGGAGGATCTCTCTGCCTTCTCACAGTGGTGTTCTACAAACAAAATGGAACTCCACTGATAAATGTTGTGCAATGACTTTGCCCGGAGATGTAATGTCATGAGCTCCCATATTCTTCAAACAGTGAATCCCTGAGCACTGCCTCTAACATCAAGGATCTCGGAGTGCTTTTAAACTCTAAACTGGATTATAATATACATACTACTGTTACAGTGAATAAAGCTCTGCGTTCCCTCAGTCTGATTTTTCGCAACACTAAATCCTTCTGGTCCATTGATAACTTATTAATTCTTTATATAAAAATTTGATTTGCCCTGTTTTAGAATTCGCTTCTGTCATTTGGTCACTTTGTACTTATTTATCTATTGATCGTTTAGAAAAACTACAACTTAAATTTTTACGCCACCAAGCTTTTCGAAACGTGATACCAATTTATAGATTTGATCATGATCTTTCCAAATTCTACAATTTATTTAAATTGGAAACTCTTCAGAATGGGAGAAAATTTTATGATTTCATTTTCTTCCATAAAATACTACATTGTCTCATCGGATTGCCCTGAAGTTCTTTCTCACATCCCTCTCAATAGAACAAGAAATCCTATGTGCTTCTGGGTGGATGCACATTTCTCTAACAACAGCTATAATGATATCTTCAATAGGCTACCTAGAACACCCAATTTCTACGCTGGTAGGATTGATTTTTTCAATCGTGACTTTAAACATTTTTGAGGTTGTCTTAAACTTCTTTCTCAATCCCGACTTTAAGTGATTTGAAACAACTTAAAATTATTCTTTTTAAATACTCTTGATACCAAATATTTTATTTTTCTTACAATCTCTTATCCTTTTTATTGCAATGACTTTATTTTAATTTTTGTGATATTCATATTTTATTCTTGTATGATTATTGTTCATACAATATTTTCAGCAACAGTTTTACAGTATATTCACAAATTTCAAGCTTTTGCTACAGTTGTTCTGAAAACTGTACATCTAACAACCTTTACCATGGTTAATACTAGGAGAATCCTGTATTTTGACTGTCATTTTGACAGGTGGCCTACTTTTTATCTAAAATTCTCAACAATATATGTGATTTGTAAATTCAGCGCTTTGTGGCATTTAATATTTAATCACATTCCACACATTCAAAGAAAAATAGTCATAAGCACTAAAAATTAACTGTGTTATTTACAAATACTACTTAAAGGACAATGACCTATCATTTTCACATGTAAGGTTTTTGCCCAACACCTTTGACATCCTATCAGGAAAAAAGGAAATAAAAACCTGACTGTTAGTATATTGCATTAAGCTTAAATATCAATGAAAACAGCTTCAAGAAACTTCCTGGAACTGTACAATTCTATATTAAAACAAAACGTGACATACTTCATGCGCTTGGGTACGGTAAAATTCGGGAGTAAACCGTGGTCAATGCACATATTTTTCAATGTTGTGGACATAGGGGTCATCAATGCATGTATATTATACAGAGAAATGATGGGAGGGAAAAAATCTCGCTAAGATTATGTCTTCAAATTATCACAAGAACTGGCAACTGCCAATGTAACTTTCCTTGCATTGAGCACTCTTACAAACATCAATACTCTTAAAGTAGCGATATTTGCAAGATTTGTCTGATCAGAGGGTGTAAAGGCAAGAACTAGCCCTGGAGCATTTGCATGCACTGCAACAAATAAGTAATAGAGTGCAATACCTTTTATACCTGTGCACGCTGCTTTGAAGCTTCTGGAAGGTTTGATTAATTACAATTTACTGAGTGCCAAGAATTTCACAAGATAAAAATGAAAACCTTTTTATTATTTTAATTATTAATGTTATGTATTGTTGTAGGCATCCATTGTTACATATGTGAGAAAAATCTTAGCACAACAACAAAAAAATTCTTTAACAATACAGAAGCTGCAGTTAAAATCCAAATGATTGTATTGATGATTATGCTACAGAAACTTGAACCTGTCAAAATGACGGGTTTGTCCTACTAGGTAGATAGAAAATCACTGTGTTAAAGAAGTTTTGAATTTAAACATAACAAGAATAAAGTAAAACAAAAATTGCATGGTCGAGAACCACTTTCACTTACCCTCCAGAACCACTGAACAACTATGTGATTAGGATGATAATCTCCTTTATAAAGTGAATTCTGTTTCCAGTCCTTGACATCAATATTTTGAATACCACACATTAGTAATTCTAGTTCATGCTCATCAAATATTTTCACCAGGTTAAGAGGAACCAAACCATTGAAACCTTCTAAGAATGCATTCATCTGATCTTCAACTCTTGATACAAATCTCCATTTAATTACCAAGCTGAAGACAAACACACATTTAATCGATTTTTTCCTTCTATTTTATAAAGGTATAAGGTACAAAATGCACATTTTCCAAAACTTACTTAATATATTCATCTTTATTTTCATTAGTTAGAGGAATATTTGCTCCATCAGGTTTTAATTCACGTTGTGAAAAGTGACCAAAGCTTTCTTCATCAACACAAAATGTTAATTCCAGCTCAGATGGGTCATTTTCCTTAATCCATAACAATGAATTATAGTATTCAGAATCTACACTCTCCATATCTTTCAAATCAATAGTCTTCCCTAACATCATCTTGTAGAAGGGACGGATGAAAAACGCTGCAAACCAATAATACAATTAAAGTTTTATTTATGACGTCAAGAAACTCAAACTTATGAAAGAAACTTACCATCTAATAATTTCCCATGATATACAGCCATTCCTGCAATTCTTCCTATAAACTTGAAATAATTTAAATGTTCCTCATTACAAACACCAGAAAATGGATTGATTTGAAGAGTATAATTATCCCTAAAAAATGTAGAATTAAATAGTATTATATAAATCTTTTCTTTTTGTAAAGTTGCAAAAAAAAAATGATGAAATTGAACTTACATAGCAGAATATTCAAAGAGGCCATAGTAAGGGTTGAACATTTCCTTTGAGAGGAGGAAAAACCATTCACGAGCCAAACCTCCATAGTCCAGACCCACTTCCCCTTCAAATTCCACCCAGAGTTTCGTTTTGAGCAATTCCATTCGATTAACACTACTAATGATGCGATATGAATCTTCTAATATGTTTTGTCTTCTGACTTTGATCTCAAATTTATTGGGCACATTATTCTGATCAAAATTTAAAAAAATATGCTTATTTATTGTTAATTAATACATCCACACAAAAGAAATATATAATAGCTTACCGGTTTTCTTAATTGGGATTTCAAGTATTCATACTTTCTCTTGTAATCACGAGAATAAGGAACAGCCTGTTAGAAGATTCAGAAATAATTAAAATGGCAAAAATTATAAAGCTAAAATTCCAAAGTTACTATTCACAACTATTACACAAGGGCACTACTCACAGGACCAGCAATTTGTGGGTTTGACAATCTTGGATCTTCCCACTGTGTGGTGCGTGTATCTGAAAAATGTGTTTCTTACTGTATTAGTTCTCTATTATTAACTGAAAGTATACAACTTTCATAAAATGCCATTGGTTAAAAAATTAGGATTTTAAACAAAGAAACAAAACATATTATATGTAATATATTATGGTTTTTTTTATATATTCAAATTTTATGTTATATTTATGTCAATTCAAGTAAAATGTAATGAATTTGAAAACAAATTTCAGTACAATTATTAATAAAGAAGCAAAAATACATAATAAAAACATAATAGAGTAAAACATTTGGATTATTTTAAGACAAAGAAAAAAGCAGGTAAATCAGACAGAATCAAAACAATAAAACAGGATGAGTAAAAAGAGAGCAAGAGCGAGAAAGAAAGAAAGAGCGAGAAAGAAAGAAAGAAAGAAAGAAAGAGCGAGAAAGAAAGAAAGAAAGAAAGAGAAAGAGAAAGAAACGAAAGAGAGAAAGAGAAAGAAAGAAAGAGAGCAGAAAGGAAAAAGAAAAAAAAGGAAGAAGACAGAAAGAAAGAAAGAAAGAGAAAGTAGAAGAAAGAAAGAAGAAAGAAAGAAAAGAAAGAAAGAAGAGAGAGGAAAGAAAGAGAGAAGAGAAGAAAGAGGAATGAGAACAGAGAAAGAAGAAGAAGAAAGAAAGAAAAGAGAAAGAGAAAGAGACAAAAGGGAAGAATAGATGGAAAGAAAAGAGAAAGAAGAGAAAGAAAGAAAGAAAGAAAAAGAGAGAAGAAAGAAAGAGATAAAGAGAAAGAAAGAAGAGAAAGAAGAAAGAAAAAGGAAGAGAAAAGAAAAAGAGAAAAGAAAAAAAAGAAAAGGAAAAGAAAAAAGAAAAAGGAAGAAGAAAAGGAGAAAGAAAGGAAGAAGAAAAGGAGAAAGAAAAGGAGAAGAAAAGGAGAAAGAAAAGGAGAAAGAAAAGGAGAAAGAAAAGGAGAAAGAAGAGAAAGAAAAGGAGAAAAGAAAAGGAGAAAGAAAAGGAGAAAGAAAAGGAGAAAGAAAAGGAGATAAGAAAAGGAGAAAGAAAGGAGAAAGAAAAGGAGAAAGAAAAGGAGAAAGAAAAGGAGGAAAGAAAGGAGAAAGAAAAGGAGAAAGAAAAGGAGAAAGAAAAGGAGAAAGAAAAGGGAAAAAAAGGGAAAGAAAGGAGAAAGAAAAGGAGAAAGAAAAGGAGAAAAGAAGGAGAAAAGAAAAGGAAGAAAGAAAAGGTAGAAGAAAATAGGAGAAAGAAAAGGAGAAAGAAAAGGAGACGAAAAGGGAGAAAGAAAAGGAGAAGAAAAGGAACAGAAAAGGAGCAAGAAAAGGAGAAAGAAAAGGAGAAGAAAAGGAAGAAAGGAAAAGGAGAAAGAAAAGGAGAAAGAAAAGGAGAAAGAAAAGGAGCAAAGAAAGGAGAAAGAAAAGGAGATAAGGAAAAGAGAAAGAAAAGGAGAAGAAAAGGAGAACAAGAAAAGGAGAAAGAAAAGGAGATAAGAAAAGGAGAAAGAATAAGGAGAAAGAAAAAGGAGAAAAGAAAAGGAGAAAGAAAAAAAGGAAAAAAAAAAAGGAAAAAAGAAAAAAAGGAAAAAGAAAGAAAAGGAGAAAGAAAAGGAGAAGAAAAGGAGAAAGAAAGGAGAAAGAAAAGGAGAAAGAAAAGGAAGAAAGAAAAGGAGAAAGAAAAGAGAAAGAGAAAGAAAAAGAGAAAGAAAAAGAGAAAGAAGAAGAGAAAGAAAAAGAGAAAGGAAAAGAGAAAGAAAAAGAGAAAGAAAAAGAGAAAGAAAAAGAGAAAGAAAGAGAAAGTAGACAAAGAAAAAGAAAAGAAAGGAAAAATGAAATGAAGGGAAAAACGAAAACAAAAGAAAGAAACCTTAAGAGTGTAATCAAGTTAAACAAACTAAGTACTGACTGTGATCAATGAAGAAAATACGGCCGTCAGTATGAACACGCTCCTCCCAGCCTTCAGGTAAGGGTCCAAGCTCATCCTCAGGTCTCCTGCTTGGGGCAACATTCTGGTTGGGCATTGGACTAGCACGCCCAGTCCTTGGATCCACCCAGGTTGTGGCACGCTCATTGTGATCAATGAAAAAAACACGACCATTAGGTGCAACCTGCATAGACCACCCTGTGGGCAATCCTTCTGAATTTAGTCCAAGACTAGGCACTCTTTGCTCTCCAGGTTGGGCTTGTCCACTTGGACGGGGCTGAAAAACATCAAGCAGTAATTCACTAACAATACTGGTTTAAAAGAAAGCAAGTTTTGAACCGATTTTGTTTAAGGTAATAATTTGAACAGTTATGTCAACCTTATCAATGCATAGCAAAGATTATTTTGAAATTACTAAGATGAAAATTGAGTTCATAGAAGTTTGCACAGATTATAATAATCACTAATAATTGAACTCGTGTTCTTGAACTCTCATACTTGAAATTCCGTACTTAAAGGTACATTTGTTAACAAATTTACTTCGTATAAATCTTCAGTTCTTACTTTGGTATTGAAAAACATATTTGCCTTCCCATGATAATGGTAGACACTTAGCCATTGAAAGGGAAAGGAGTGGGTTGGGGTTATGATTTACAACAATCCACACCTAGTAGCATCATCAATTGAGTAAGAATACCACTGTGAGGTTGGCAAAAGTTTAATTGCATTCTGGATGTATGTGATGCACAATGGCCAAGAACAATCTGCTGTTCTTCACAATTCTGCAGCAGGATAGCTAAAGAAACTGTTGAGAGGGAAATTGTTGAAACACCCCTATCCAAAAGTAAAATATCTGACCATGTTATCTTAATTGGAGACTATATGGCCTCCTGGACCTCCTGTAAGGGCTGAGCTTAGCTGTCAGAATGGTGTACCTCCAGAAAAAAGTTGCATAAATGTCGAATGAGACCATTTCTGGACCTTATCTCACATTGATAGTCACTCAATACCTATAAGAGACAGTCCTTTATTCTTTTTTCTTTATGGATTTAGCAGGTCCAACACATCATCACCTCTGCCCATGTCAGGCAGAGAATAACAAGGTTTGACAGTGTCCTCCAAAAGAATCCACACTTCATGGGACTAGTTGGAGATTTCCTGCAGTCTGTCTCCTGTCATCAGGTTATAGGCAAAGCTGGGAAGAAATGTTTCACGGTCTTAACAGAGATATAAAGGAGGACACTTTGAATAACCTCTGCTATCAATTTTTCAGAAATTTGATAATCAGCACAAATGTTTATCTCATTCATTTGCCTTCAGAACAGAAGATTCAGCAAGACATCTTTGTCATCAAACTTACTACAAAGTTCAACAAAAAACAACAACTAGAGATTGGAGGTGGAAGATCAACCATTAGTAGCTTAACCCAGTGGCTATTTACTACACAGACTCTTCTCTCTTGATATCTAGTCCATACAGTAAATTATCTAATGGGGGATGCAGCTTCCCAAAGCCACATTAAAATTCTCAGAACTATAAAAATGTCGCTTTTACAAATCATTTCTCATGTTCATCTGTACGATACAGACGACTATGTTCCCATCCCATACCTTCACCAAACGAAACAAGGCATCTTCTCGGCTCAGGAAGTCAATGGAGATTTTACAAAGCCATGTACACAACTCACTTTAATTTTGCAAATCACCACCTTCCCACTGCCAGCCCTAGAGATGTCTTACCACACAGTTGTTTTCCTGCTGTTTGTCTTACCCTACGTGTGTCTTACATTGTATGTAATATTTGTGCTGAGTTTGGTTAAAATTGAACCAATGTTATGTTAGATCTCACATGCCCAGATATGCATGACAACCCCACACACATCCCAATTTCTCCCTAGCTCTTCATTTACACAAAATATTTTTGGCTACTGCATTCACTTATTCATGTCTTGACTGTGTACGATATAACACTTTCTAGCCAATATTGTCAATCTTTCCAGAATAGTAGTGCAGCTTGATGGCCTCAGAACAGCAACCGTAACATTGTCAACACTGCCTAGAATCTAGTGCCTCCAAGCCAACTCCACTCCATTGAATCTAGCCGCAACAGCTTCCTTCTACGATGTACTTTTGCTTAGAATTACAAGTTCAACTTACAGCAGGAGTAGGTTCTCTGCGAGTCTGAGCAGGACTAGGTGTAGCTGCTCCATCGCCTCCCTGAAAAGGAAACAAAACCTTCAATATTTTTACTCTACTTTGAATCTCCGACACAAATAAATAGCCTCATCATGCACATGATAGAGAAACAATATTATGACAAACTGAAGGTTATCGGAAATAAGTACTTGTGCTTCTCACAAAAGGTTATTTTCACATGGGTTTAAAAAAAGAGAATTTTAATAGCATGTTTTCATAAGGAAAATGCAATAGAAACCTTTAACAAGTAAAACAGAAGATAAATATTCAATGTCTTGGAATCTTCTTACCATTTTTAAGGCATTACGTTACATTTAAATCTTTCATTTCCCCCTACATTCTCTAAAATAAAAAACCTTGTTTTATGTTATCATGATTGTATTAAAAGTAACGTAGACAGATGTCTTGTGAAACAAAGATGCAACTGACAGTTTAATTCACACAATGTATGAATCTCTATTTTTAAAATAGCACTTAAAGAAAGACAATAAATACTTAACATTTTGGTTTAACAACATCATTAATTCTATACAATAATTTCCTGATATATTCAAAGAGAATCCTTAAGAACATTTGTTGAATAGTATTCAGTGTTCAACAGTAACTCAAAAAATGTAATACTTTTTTAATCTGTTTATTATTGCTCTAATTTATTACTGGCCTTTATCGATAACTTATAAGATTTCATCAAGCATAAATAATAATCATGCTAGATTTCAATGCAATTTCCTAGGAAACTAAAAATTTTCAAATTTTTCTTACCTGGACCCCAACTACAATATCCTCATACTACATGCAGCAAACATTTACAATGCAAGAGAATTCATAAGAATTTAGGCAGATTTCAAAGAACTAAACAAACCATAATCATTGAAAAGAAGCTGAAAAACATACTTTGAATTCCAATGGTCCACAAAAGAGTTAAATTCTTTGCATAGATTATTTAGCAACTTTTTCTCAAAAACTTGAAATGAAGTTTTTAGATGAAAATATGTAATAGCAAATAGAAATGTTACAATGGTGCTAAAATTGTAACAATAAGAATAAAAATGTTCCAATTCATTCTTAAAGCAGTAGTTAAATCCATTAGTGAAATAGAAACTACAGAACAAAAATGTTAGTGCTTCCTTCCAATGCAGTTTCCAACACGTTCACCCTTTAGTAAATATACGGGGCTCCATCAACCAGCTCCCATTGCGTACCTCAGATACAACAGTCCCTCCCCCTAAGTTGTTCTCTTCAACATCTTCAACGCCTTCATCATCAGGTTCACTGTCTATGCTGCTACTCTCCTGAGGCGAGCAAGGTAAGCATGCACAAAATAAAACCTGCATCAGCTTCCAGCGGCGCCAATGTCACCATGACCAAAGGGGGATTATGTTCTAATGTGGCCACAATATGCACAGAGTAATGAGAAAATGTCCAATACTTCATAAACCACAATTACTAAATTACAGTCCAGAAATAATTTTTAATTTGACTCCCAAACCAAATTTTATCCAAAATACTAAATATATGAGCTTATTTGCATGAATTTAGAGTAAAATATTGCAATGGTCTTAAATTATCTTTACTGAATATTTTTGTCTTTAACTATATTGCCCTTCAAAAATGTTGAATTCTTAGGATTTCTTGAAATGTGACCACATGGAACTGTTATTTCGTTATTTCTAAATGACAGGAAACTTCCTTTTGTAGATAATCCCTTAGATTTAATAGTTAATTGACGGTTCCCCTAAAATTCATCTGTAGTGAAAATTGTCAAAGCAGCCACCTCTATAAGTGGTCACTTCCATCATCAACTATTTTTTCATGGAACCAATTGATGTTTCTATAAGACCCAAATATTCCCTCTTTTCAGCAGCCACCTGGCAATGCAACCAGCAGAAAGGCACATTTCGTAGATTGACTTTTATTAAGAAGTCACCTCAAGCGATTTTGAACTGTATTGTATCAAGAAGCAGAAAAGTGGAGAAACTGTTTTTTAAATACAGTCGCAAAAGGGGACTCATTGTCAGATTACTTCAAATAATGCCATCCAGTATCTTATCTGGCATAAGGTTTTCTGTTCCAGAAAACAACAGATGACTTTAATAAATATCTCTTATTGAAACAACCTTTATTTCTGTCATTTCACAGTATTCTTTTAGATTGCTAACTCGTACTTTCCTTCTGTGGAATTTGCTACAGACTCGCAGAGCACATTACATACACGAATCTGATTTAAATATTGGTCTTTCACCATCTTCACCAGACAGCTCAGCTGTGAAGTTTCTACAGGATATGAACTGCATATTCAAGTCTAGTTTGCTTGTTTGACTCGGCAAGGATGGTAAGCAAGGTTCTTCAATGAAAGAAGTCAAGGGTGTGTAATAATAGAAGCCGAGAGGAGGCAAATAACTCTAATTACGTTGTTTAAATTGAATTTGTCCATTACATTTGTCCAATAATTAACGGTCCATTTCTTATGCAATCACTGATTACTCTTTACATATTAGGAATTGCAGAGTACTTAATAGGATGGTATAATTATCAATCTATATTTTTGAAGAGAATAAGAATAGGACACAAACAAGTTCTGAGCAATATACAATTAAGACTAATTAAATTCTTTTGTAGTGTCTCCTCCTTGGTCTCTTCCACTCGCTTGACAATATACAGGGTGATTCATTTCAGATCATATTGTTGTAGGAATTATTTTTTAATATCTACAAGATTAAATTAATAATTTTTCTACAAAAATAATGAATTTTTATTGATCAAAAATTTTATTTGCCTCTTTCATTCAAAAATATGAATTTCCTCCAACCACTTTATACAGATCACAAAAAGATCCAGAACATGCATTGAAACCTATTAACTTTTCCTACTTGAAAATAATTTTTAGCAAATCTACAACCTCTTAAGAATTTTTAATTGAAATTTTAATTAAAATTTTCAATATACATTAATGCACTGTGTAATGTAATAATATTTACAATTATACCGTCAAGAGCTATTTCAAATAAGTGAAGAAGTAAAATAAAAAAAAATAAAACTTAACAGCAAAATTGAAGATGCAGAAGAAGAAAAATTGCAGCCACCTTGCTGTGCCCAGAATCAATTCCAAAAAAAATCAACAAATTTTCAAATAATGTTGAAAAATCATTTTTTGTTTGGATTGATAATCAAACAACATCAAACAAACCATCACTCTGAAATTCAGAACTTTAAAGATTTATAATATATTAAAGAAAAAAAAGGGGGGAATAGTCTATAAAGCCTATTATTTTTTCTTCAAGTTATCCAATTTTAGCATATGACAGTTCTACAGTCCATTAGCAAAAAAGGAAACACTGAACATGTATTCTAATATACCTTTATTTTATTTACAAAAAAATTTTTTCAGCAGATAAGAATTAAGGGCTAATTAACTGAAGGGAATTTATGTAGCATGCATACTACACTTGTTGAACTTTTTTGTCAACCTAACAATCATAAATTATCTGTATATTGTTTTGTCAACTGTATGATGATTGAGATGTAGCATCACAATGGCAATTAATTGTCTGAAGTTAATAGAAATTGTGAAAGACAACAAGAAATGTTCAGTCCACTGTGCAATTGCCTACCCATGATTGTAGTACCAAATGATTATAATTATTTAGTTTCTAATAGTAATATTTCAAATATTCATGATGTTTAAGAAAACCTTGAAGGCTGCATACCTAGTTGCTTTGTAAATGCTTAGGAAATTATTGGATAAACTCAAGGCTGTTTTGTATTAATCGCGGAGGGTAAAAAACTGGAGCGTCATCAAGAAATTGGACATGCATAGTTACGCAACCCTGTGTTTTACAAGTCATTTACTTAATTAAAGTATGATTTGTAAATAAAATGCAATTCTGCTCCCAGAGTATTTATCATACAAGCTTACAAGAATATACTAGTTCTGTTATTTTTGCTAATTCAATTTACAATTCCCCTCTAAAATCCATGAGGTTCATACTATGAGAGAGGATGAGTGAGTGGTGTATTCATTGACAGCAAGTAAACTTCACCCAAAATAAAAAATTTAAGAGCAAAGCTCAAACAAGAATATTACAGAACTTTCTTCTTAGGGAGTAGAAGGAAAACTATTTGAAAGGAATGCCATAAAATGATAACATAGTCTTGAATTACATTTGAATTAATGTGACTTATGATAATGCTCCTTTTAAAATCTTCTGTAAATGGAAACCAAGAACAATCTGCACATCATTACATCAAAACAAAATGAGGAGACCACAATTAAATTTCTATTTACACAACTTTCAGAAGTAAAGTATATTAACATGATGAATGAAATGAAAAGAAACATTCCAAACACTGAAAAGTGTTTTTGAGTTCCATCTTCCATCATCAAGAGGGATAAAATATATTATCTCATCAAGTTTTAACAGGCTTTAATTAATAAAAGCAAAATATTTGAATGTACCAGTGTTGTAACTATTTTGAAATTTAAGAAAATACTGAGTATTTTAAATGAATCACCCTGTTTAAATATTTGATAGCTACTGAACTGTAACATCAAAAGTAGAAAAATGTCTACAAATAAGAATTATTAATATTTAAGATAAAAACATGCCAAACAACACAGGTACAAAGGAACATTTAACTATTTTTGTAACAAGATGCAAAGAACACCAAACTACATCATTAGGATATTCTGCAAAAGAAGTTTGAATTTTCTTAATAGTAAATTTTGTTCTGCAAAACAACCATCAGGTAATTCTACTCCTTTCATTTTGTATTTCCTCTCGCAATAATGAAAATACATGTTGTATTTTCATAAAACATGTTACAGCAAAACTCAAGAGAATTTGCTATCTGCCTAAAAGTCATTTCAGATAATTTTTCTAGGAAAATCAAATTCCATAGCAAATATAACAATAATTGTTTACCTGATTTTTACTGTATTATCATTATATTTACATACTACAGTACCAGCAGCAAATATGTGACTGGCAGTTCAATCTGTTGTTGACACATTACCACGCACATGGCACCAACTACATCCCAGATAAATGAAATCTCAAAACATTAATCCTTACTGGTAGGCTATGACACATCTTGATATCTATGTTCATAACTTTCGCCAAAGCCAAATCTTCTCAGCAACTTCATGCGAATCAGATGAGCAATACTTAACATTGGCTGTGAGAAAGTAAACAAATCCTTGGAACCCTATTGCATCTGAGCAAGTCACATGATGTATCAGTGCTAGTGGAGAGAACTGTCAGTTTCTTATATGCTGCCCACACTGTAACCAGCTTCTGCACTTAGATGGAATACATGATCACCAAACAATTGTCAGGAAGATAAATAAAATAAGAATCACAAAACTATTTTTCATTATAAAGAAATCCCATCACTTTCCTCAGATCCCTGCCCAGACTATGTATCTAAATTCAGTAATGGATTTGGTGTGTTCATCTGGAGAGAAAACTTCTGGAGAGAAAACTTCTAGAGTAAATGTGAGCCTTTTCATTAGTGTTTCATAAAAGTTCATAATGTGTGATAAAGTGTTGCATTTCAACATTTTCCAAGCCTTTTAATATAGAAAAATACGAGGCAAAACGTTCCCAAACTTGAGAAAAGTGAATCCAGTAAAATTACACAAGTTAAATAGAACTGATATTAATCTGTCCTCAGTTTAAAAGTTGAAATTACTTGTTGGATGTGAATTTTGAAAATTTTCACAACTAGAAATATGACCAAGAAGATGATTCAAGAAGTGTGAATGCACCTATTCCTGGCATTTCCACAGAACTGGACAGTATTATGAGTAGCCCAATGTTATGAAACCAAAGTGTTAAGAGACTTAATGGAAATCTTTTACTGCTCTGTGAAACTCCAATCAAAAAAATCAAAATTGCTAAGAAAAAAGTATTGTCTAAAAATAGTAGTTATAAAAAGTTCTAGGAAAAATAAGTATTTAAATTATCCAAAGACGAAAGGGAAGAAGATGATGTACATCAAGATCTGGTGGAAAAAGAGAAAGAAGCATTTCATGCAACTAAAGACAAATGAACAAATTAAGAATTCTCACATCATTTGACGGTTGGTCTTACAGACAAATTCGAGATCATTTTGATGCATCATTTTACATGATCACAGCAGCTACACAAGAAGTAAGTCAAAAGGGCTGTCTCTCAACTTCTGACCTGAAAATGGGAAAGCCTTTGCATACTGATGTGGCAACAAAAGTAAAGGCATTTTATGTATCTGATGAAATAATCCACATAAGGACTGGCAAGAAATATTATATATCCATGAAATAGGATGGCAAACGATTACAGATGCAAAAAAGATTGGTCGTATGCAATTTGAAAGATGCCTTTGCACTGTTCAAAGAAAAAAAATCAAGATTGTTAAATAATGTTTTCACAGTTCATAGAACTTTGATCAAAACAATGTATTTTAGCCAGAGCAAGTGGCATGCCTTCAGTTTAAGCACATGTCACTCATCAAAATGTAAAAGTAATTGTAGACTTCGCACATAATCCAGAGGACACTTTCACAACCGTTAAAAAGTTACAGATATTGCTTACCATAAATTAAATGCAACTCCCCCCCAATAAAATATTTCTCCAGAGCATTGAGTGCCCTGAATCCTCCGAGCTAATACAACAAATGCAGCAGTTGGTTGAAGACCACATACCAAAAAATATACCATACAGGCAATGGGTGTCCACAGACCTTAAAAAAATTGCACTTTTTCTGAATGAACCGAAACAAAAGTTGAGAAAAAGGATTCATGTCTTGTGTGATTTTTTTGAAAATTATTAATTTGTTTTTCAAGGTGCAATTGAAGACATTCACTGGAACAACAAACAAGTTACAGTCCATTCACTAGTCATTTATTGTAAGCCAAACACTGAAATCAAACATACACCACTTTTGCCGCCATTTTGAAATATTTCAAACATCGTACCACAGCTGTTCATTTACTCCAGAGACATTTAACAGATTTTATTAAAGGAAAAGCAAATGGCATTAACAAAATAATAAATTTTTCTGATGGTGCAAATTCTGATAGGTAAAACAAAAATAATTTGAAAAACTTGGGTCAACATAAAGTCTCTGAGAATGGTTCTTTTTAGCAACATTGCATGGTAAAGGACCCTGTGACGACGTTGAGGGAATAACCAAACATTTGACACTAAGGTCCAGACTGCTGTCACACAGGATCAATAAACACTCTTCGCAAGTTCTACACAGGTTCAGAAAAACATCCTGAATATGACTTCTTACTTTTTATGACTAAAAATAAAGCATCCGAGGAGAAAGTACATGAAATTAGATTATCAGCTGCATGACATCTTACACATCTTTTACACGTTTTTACCAGTCTTAAAAAGTACCACAACAACTGAAGTATTTTCAAAATCTGAAGATACAGTATCTATAAGTAGTCGTCATAAATGAAACTGTGTTGTTGAATTGTTAGAAAAATGTAACATTAATTCAACTGAAAAATCAATGTTCGGAACATAGCTTCTGCATGCCAGTATCTGCTTGCTAAGATATGAAGGCAGGTAGTAAATAGAGCTTTGATTTACACGCATTTACTAAGTTTTTTCTGTTTACAAAAACGTCCCATTTCAACAATTGTACTCGTTTTGAGGTATTCAGAATGAATTTAAGCTATTTTTTATTTCGCGTATTTTGCAAATATCACCATAATTGCATATATTTGTATATTTGGACCATAATTTTATATTTTTGTTGCATATTCACCCCTCATCCATGAAAAGAACTCTAAAAGTTACAGTTCCGTGAGTATATAAGCGGCACCGACAGTTCTCTTGCCACTTGCTATGGTACATTGTGTGACCTGCTCTAAAGCAATGGGCTCCCAAGGTTTTGTTTATGTTGCCATAGTCACGAATCAGAGTTGCTGCTCGCCAGGCTCGTACAAAGTCACTCAAGAAACATGCTAAAACCTGTCATCGACAGTATCAGTTGAAACGAAATGTGCATCCACGGAGCACCTATATGTGCCAACACTGAATCGACTGAATATAAAATGATCCTCTAATTTAAAAGGTCTCCTGAGGATTTAAAAACTTTTGACACATTCTCACTCTGAGGTCAATAAAATTGCAAATTGCCTTGTTGATGAGAATGTTACAGCATATTACGTGAACTATCACTATTTTCTTGTTCTTTAAAAATTATCATTTTCAAGGTTATCGTCAATACCCTCTTTACCTTCACATGTATCATTGTTCCTTTATTTTTGTTCTCTTTATATACTGTGACATCCTTTGACTTTTCAGACCCCTCTGAATATGCATTCTTAGTCTTTAATCAGATGTCACCTAAGAACACTTCCTTCAGTATCACAAGATGTTTTTCCATCCTTTGTGACCTGCTCTGTTTGCGGCTTTCAATTATTACACATTGTTTTCCAAAATATATTTGACATTTGCAATGTTTAACAATCAAGATAAATTTGTGACAGGTGAACTCTTACATCTCCTGCACTCCCTTTCGCAGATAATGTAGGAGATAGCAGCACCAAGTCAGTTAGATTTTGCTAAAAAATATTTTTTATCACCCTTTTCAGTGGTTTGATGTCGAAATCTTATTTCTATCAACATGAATTTTTTCATTTACATCTCTTGCAAAATTCAGATTTGCACTCACCAAGCATCGAAATGACAGTCTGTAAAGCCTTGTTGATCAGCCGATCTTATAACAAAATCTCAGCAAAGATTCTCATTCATTTTCAAGTTGAGTTTCACTAGATGCAGTCCCATTCATTTGAATTTCTTTCTTTAATGACCTATTCAACAACATCGAAGTCACTAGGGAAATTCACGGTCAATACCATTAATATATTTATCTATTATGGTCTGTAGTTTATGAAAAATCATACTTTTAATTATAAGCTTTATAATATAAATAATTATAAAATGAACACAAAACACAATCAAACAAATGGAAATTCGGTGTTTTTGTATAGAATATTGGTGCATATTTAGTGCATTTTGTGTTAATGCATCTCATTTCCATTATATTTAAGTTATTATACATATTTTATTGCTTTTTTGTTCTGCAAGTGACATATTTCTCTTGGAAGTTCTATTAACATGCACATTATTCTCCTCAAAGCAAAAAGTGTACTTCAAAAAGGTCAATGTGAATCCTATTCATGAGAAATTGTGGAAATGTCTTTCATTGGTATTTGTCTGAATTTCTTTTAGGTATCATGGCACTAGTAACAGGAAACGATTTGTTTGATAATGAATTATGTCATAATTTATCTTCCATAAAGAATATCTGGCATTACTCCAACAATAATACAAACAAAATTATATTTTATTATAAAAATTATAGCTAACAAACTAAGTGCGACAAAAATGCAAAATTAATTTTTCAAATTGAAAGTTTTGTAATTGTTCATGAATATATAAAACTGTTAATCATTAGAGCATATTTCATTACTTCTGGCACATATTTCACAAATGTTAGAGGATATTTGCATGCAAATTTCTCCTTTAGATACAGAATTAACTTTTAAGCCTTGACTTGCCTCATATGATTATCATCTTCATAGGTTATTGTTAAGTCAAGATTTACCACATTCATGAACTGGAAAGGCTAAGTACAAACATAAATCCTAACCAACTAGGCTTAATCTGTGAATGTAAGACGACTACCTATTTTACAAATGAGATATTTAGGATAAAATCTTGCCTTATACTTGGGTAAATAAAGAATATTCATTGTCAAGCTAACAAGAAAACAAGATGACAAGAAAAAAGCTAGTCATGTTAATTTTATAATACCTGTCATAAAGCAATTACATTGACATCACAGAAGTCAAGTTTAAAATTGATGTTGGATTTTACATGACATGCTAATGAAAAAGAAAAAGATTACACTTAAAATGCATCAATACCTCTCAATACACAATTCAAACTGTTTTTATTCATTTACAATGAACCTTTCTTATAACTGAAGGTTATATTTCTAAATAATATGTAGAGAGATAAGATATCTCTACCCCTGAATCAAGAATATCCAAAGATCATTGCTGATGGGGGAGGGACAAAGGTATGCCATTGAAACAATCCCTTCTATTTCATTCATTATTAAATCTCTGTTGACATATTTCATTCACAAAGCTCAACTACAAAGATTTATTTCACAAATTATGCAATTGACTGGACATAAGCAAAAACCAATCTACACAAGAATGTAGTGAAGGAGGAAATTATCATCAACTTACTTTCTCCTTTCTGATGTTCAAAATCGCTTTAGACTTCCATGATATATTTATGCCTATATTAAAAAAAGAATTCTGATCCTACATTTTACCTTATACTATCTTATGAAGGGTTCCTTCTACAATTCTCATTTCAAAAACAAAAATTAAACAACAAAATGGAAACCAGAGGGAAGTTTCCTTAATCAGCCTTTTCTTCCATTACAACAAACTTGAATATATTTGATGCATGCAATTAGTATTCCAAACATTAGCAAGCCACAAGTCTTTCAACAAATTTTGGGTGCACCAATGTTTAAGTAAATGGTCATTTATTTTACACGATATTCCAGTCTCAAACTTATTCTGTTACAAGTCTTTGCACAACCATTGTTATAATTTATTTATATTTATTTGAAAATTGTAAAGAGAAAAATCTAAAGCCAAATTCCAAATTACTTACTCTAATATATTTGCACAAAACATGCAATATGTGAACTATGAATAGAAAAAGAGTTCAAGACGGAACAAGAGGTGCATTTACGAAGAGCAGAACTGCATAAAGCAACCCATGCTAATTAACATACAAAATAATATTTTACCTGATGAACTGTAGCATTATCAGGTCGTTGGTTGGAATCTACATCATCTACACTAATATGAAATCGACGCTGAAATTCCGTTGCAGCAGACTCCAAATTACGTTCTCTGTCTGTCTGGTCTGTTTGGGTGGTATTTCTGCAAAACAAATTTATTCTTAAGCACCATAAATTGAAAGCCTTTAAGATCAATTTTTTACCTACATCATGCAAAAATCAATTCTGTATACGAGCAATGGTGCAAGTGTATTTCATTACCACATTACAGAAACCCATTATATATTCAAATCAATATATTTTTCATTATGAAACTCCTGTAATTGTTAAGGAAGGAGGTTTAACTTTACAATTCCTTATAAATTTGCAAACTGAAATTGAGAAAATCAGAGGAAAAGGTCAGAGCAGAACTAAACGTAATAAAGAAAGATAACGGGATACAATATTATGAAGATTTTTATATTATAAAAATCTTGAAATAAAATTTCCTTAATTTTTCAAAAACAATTTTCAAAATTTTATTTCCGTCAAAATTAAAACTTTTAAATGGATTTGAAAATTTCGGAAATTTTTTAAGAATCTTTTATTCCGCCGGGTGCACAACAAAATTCTCAAATGTTGCCATAAAAATCAGCTATCTCCTGGAATTTTTTCAGATCTTTCTGATTGGTGGGCCATGTTTAAAAATTAAAATACAAATTTTTGTCCAATTTTATATATTTTCAGGTATATACAATTGTATAGAGGTATGTAATTAAAGCATTAATTGTTTTGTAATGACATTATTTGCAATATTAAAAGGCAAATACCAATAAGTTTGTTAATATTTTGACTGATTGATAAAACCTTGTCTGATAATGAACATTTCAAAAGTATTTTTAATTACTTCAGAGGTACGAAAAAATTATTAATTTGAGAGGATTGATTGTAGCTTAACTGAGAATTTCTTGAGAATTTTAGATGTGTAAAATAACAAAATAAAAAGCTGATAAAACAGATTTTCTATCATTTAAAAAGATATTTAAATGATTAAATATGAAAACAATAACTTTTTTTTTATTTTTCTACATTTGACTTCAGCATTTCTTGCATCAATCGGACCAGAAATTCGGCTTTTACCTTAGAGAGTAGTATTTCTATTATTATTAAAATGGGAAAATTTGAATTTTGCAATATAATTATTCGCTATCACCATCATATATATTTTCGAATTCATCTATTGATGAATCTGACATCTGGATTAAAAAGCACAATCCCCTTTAAATGTGACAAGGTTTACAGCGTGTGTTCATAAACTTTAAAAAAGATATATACAGTGTTCGAAAGAAATAAAACAAATCTAGTGTAATGCTGTGTCTATTCTCTTTTTCTATTTGCATTAATCAGGAAGAGATGGTCAAATCAAGTATAATATACATTTCATTGTTTTCAAATACATACATTAGGTTTTGAAGTATGAAGGGTGTTTCAGTACTCGCTGCTTATACAGAACCAGGTGTTAAAGTAACCTAAGTTATTCATGACTGCAAAAGGAAATAGGGTAAACCCTACTCAAAATTTTAAAACCCAAACGTTTTTTGTCATTGGTCATTGGTCATTTTTTTGCACAAATGATAGCCCAAATATTGTTCCCTGTTGCTATTATTATCTACTTATCTAATTAATATGAACGAAGAGAGAAAAAACTATTATGTAAGTGTTATTTAGGATGCTTTATCACATTTGCATATACAGAAAAACCTTGTGTAACGGGGGTTCTACAAGTGTTCAATATGGCCGCCTCCTGCATGATCGCAAGGTAGGCATCTGTGTCACACGGCCTTCATGGCGGACACAACTTTGCTGAGTTGTAGTACCTTTATTTCCACTTCCATGCTTTCAATGCTCCAAAGAAGGTCATCACGGTCCTCAACTTGAGTAGCTTAAATGCAGTCCTTCATTAACCTCCAGCTCCAAAAGTGTTGGGAGTAAGAGTTATAAAATTCAGAAACTGAACTCTCTTAAACGCTTGGGTATGAAGTAAGGACTGAGGATAAATTCATCCACAGTGCCAACCAACAAGTTACAGAGAATTGCTCTTGATGAGCTACACTATGTGCATCATGCGGATTTCCTCGACCCAATATAAACCCAATACTATTGTACTACTATGAGGTAGCGATTGTTAAATGGTCTTCGCATAATTAGATATTGCTCGCACATTGCCGCCATAATTTACAATAATCAAAGTGTGATTGTATTATGATGAGTAAAGTTTTTCCTAACTTCTTTCTTTGTAACATCAATTTCTAATGTTTATTATATATCTATTTATAAAATACTTAATCTTTTTTTTTAATTCCATTATGTTAACATCAATTTAAAAAAAATATATAGTCAGTTTGAAGATGTTGGAGAATCATGTAATAACAAAAATAAATTGATATTTAAGCATTTATATATTTTTTAATATGATAGAAAATCTGTTTTACCCGCTATTTATATTGTTATTTTACAAAACATCTAAAATTCTCAAGAAATTCTCACTTAAATTAGAATCAATCCTCTAAAATGGATAAATTTTCGTACCTCTCAAGTAATTAAAAATAACTAAAAAATATTGTTCAACATCCGATGCGGACAAAATTTATGGATATTAGCCTTTTAATATTGTAAATAATGTTACTAGAAAACAAATATTATTTGAATTACATACCTCTATACATTTGTATATACCTGAAAATATGCAAATGGGACAAAAAGTTGTATTTTAATTTTGTAAACATGGCGCACCAATTTTAAAAATGCCTGAAAAAATTTGAGAGATAGATGATATTTAGGGCAACATTTGAGAATTTTGTTGTGCACCCAGCAGAATAAAAACTTTTTAGAAAAATTTCCAAAACTTTCAAATCTATTCAAAAGTTTGAATTTTGTGGCAAATAAAATTTAAGAAATTATTTTTGAAAAATTGAGAAAAATTTCACATAAAGATGCATTATTTTCCATGGGAATTTGCTCAAATGACAAATGAAATATTCATAAAAAACTGAATATTTAATGGAGGGGGGGGGGAGAAAACCAAGATTTTGATATTACAAAGGATGTGAGGGGGGAGGAATCTAACACATTCATGATAAAATGTTTCTCATGATCACAATCCTTAGGAAAAATTATATTTTCAATTTTAAGCAGGGGCACTTTCTACCATCTTAACTGGCTAAAGCCTTTCCATGAAATTTCCAAAATTGTAATATGGAATTAGTATTAGCTTTGTTATTTCAAATGGTATTGGATTGACCGTCAAATGAAATAAATAAATAAATCTTAATATATAAATGTATAAATCAATTATTATTATTATTATTATTATTATTATTATTATTATTATTATTATTATTATTATTATTATTTATTAGCATTATTAATAACAAACACACTCACAAGAAAGTTGGTCGCTCCCATTGAGTAGTGCGGGCAATGTGATTGACGTAGTACGTGCGTCCGTTAGCATCTTGTCGTTCTTCCCAGCCTGAAGGTAGTGGTGGCAGCTGCTCCTGGCTCTGAAGAAACATCAGCTACACAACATACGTACACACTATGTCACTGCTATATCACTCACATGCAAAGCAATAAGACAAACCAAAAAAGGTCAACATTTACAAATCATTCCAGGGAACACAGCAACACAAGTATACACACATGACCTAACACACATGACATGCATTAAACTGTGTTGCCTGGAAATGAATACAGCTTAATTAATGAACTGGCATTCAGGATCTCAAGTACTTCTGTACTACCAATGAGGCTCCTTACATTTATGAATAACTGAAAATTGAAAAAGCAATAGGGAACAAAAAATTATTTTTCATTAATAACAAAACTCAGGCCTTAATGATAGGGCTTAGCAATGAACCAAACATGAAGGTATGAGACTTCTAATATGCACATCATGCTATGAAAAAAATCTTGTGCAAAAGTATGCCAAGCAAATATTGAATTCAAATAAGAGAAATATTGTGACTATTAGATTTCTTATCACCCTTATCTTGAAGAATATTTGAAAGGAGAAATATTAATTTTAAGAACTTACTTCTAGTAATTACTCCTCTCTTGAATACTTTAGAACAAAAAATTGCATAGATATGTTTGAAAATATCATTTTTTCAATTAGATCATTTATCTTGTTTTTAATTTCATTAATGAAAAATAAATCTTACTGCAATAATGAAGTATGTACTTTTCAGGCACAAACAAGAAATCTGTTAGGTCACTTATTGAAATCACATTTCAGAGCACAAATATGTGTTTAAAGTAAGTTGTGAGCTTATCACCAACTAAACATTTAAATGTCCTTAGAAAAAGTATTTAAATACAGCAAATGTGGTACACATGAAGCAATGTATCAGTTTAATAGTACTTACTGCAGGGGTCTTATCAAAGAAAGATATGCAAGAAAAAAAACAAGTTCTGAAACACTTAGGCCTACAGACAAAAACGTGGCTCCTCAAAGTTACAATTAGCACAGGTTAAATTTAAAAGAAGCTTTGTGTTCCCAAAACAAAAACAAAAACCACACAATAATTCAAACCTTGTTAATGTGCAGTACAAATTACAAGGGAACATTACAAGGTTAGCAGCCCAGCCAACACCATGATGTTACTCTACAAGCAAATTGTTGTAAAGAGATCTTACAAACCTGCAGTGTAACACCTCATAGCTACCATCCAAGACTGGATCTGCTCCCAGGTGTCAAGCCCTGCCCCCCCTCTGCATTAATTCTTTTCCCCTGCCAATCAACCACTGCTTCACGTAATTTGAGAACAGAAAGTACACATCTGCATGAAGTGTTGTACGAGGGATACAGTTCCAAATGCACTGCATAATAATTCAACATTATCTACTCCCTTTCCCATACTCTACCAAGTGCACATCAGCCTTTAAGTGGAATAAATCGCTCTGAACACCCAGCCTTTAGTTTAGTAGAATAACTGATCTACGCATAATCTTTTACATGAAAAACAAATGCACTTATATTTGCATGAAATGAGATGTGCACAAAAGCGAGGAATTCCTCAGACCATGTGCTTCTTTTGACAGGGCCCTGAGTAAAGAGTAAATTACCTGACGATTAACAACTAAATTAACATCGTTATTCAAACCCCAAAATTAGCACACAAAAAATACTATTCCTTTCATTAAATAAAATAACTAATACTATTGACATTCAGCAAAAAAGTTTCTTCTCAAGAGCAGTCACATTTTTGCTTCAGTTGCAGAGAAATAAATATTTACCCAGAGCCCTGATTCAAGTAATGCTTTCTATCTTCTCACCAGAGTATGAACTCAAGAGGAAAGTTACAATTGCACTGTTTCACAACAGTAACGTAGATGTGAAAACTAAGTAGCAAAAATTTCAAAAATATAAATGACAGACCGTAAATAAAAAATTAAAACATTAAAACAAAATCTAACAAAGTCCTTTTGTGACCCCTCTACTACAACCACATTAATAATAACTTTTTCACAATCCACACTATCAAAAGTGCTTCCAATGAAACTGCCATCCATTCTCCAATGAGAAGTACTACGTATCCCCACAATCATGCAGCTGTCTACACTTGCCCCAGTTACCTGTGGCAGGGCTTGCTCCAGGATCTCCCAGTCCTCCCAGGTTGCATGGCGGTGGAGTTGTGCCCCTGCGTGGCGCTGGGCTCTCTGCTCCGGCTGCAGGAGTTGGTGGGGCCTCTGCCGGGACACTGTCAACTGCGGCACCCTCTCCCCATGCCCACTCCTTACCACCCGAGAGCGACGCGGGGGCCTCTGGGGCCTTACCTGCGCTGGTGTCTCTACTGCCTGGGAAGTCTGCTCTGACTCCACAAGCTCCCACTCGGACTCTGCCCCATCTGCAGAATCTGGTTGAGCAGTAGATGGATGGGAGCTCTCAGGCCCAAGAGCAGGCTCTCGAATAAATGCCAGGTACAACTCCAGATGGCCTTTGACCCGTGACCGCACGCTGGGCAAAACAATTACCCAAAAGGGGATTAACATGGAACAAGATAAGTTAAAAATTTCTTGAGAATTCGTTTTGATATAATCTTGTTACATGCTCAAATATTCTTTTTCATCATAAGTTTTTTTTTTTCTTTCTTGTATTTATATGAGTAGGAAACCACTTAAAAGAAAAAAAACAAGATTATTTAACGCCCAAGAAATCTCATGCCACAAAAATTTACAATTCATGCAAGAATTACAAAATAAATCATGTACACAGCCGTGTGAACAAATACAAATATACTTCTAAGAATTCATTATACTAATTTCTTTTTTTTAAAAAAAAAAGACAGAAAAAAAAGAAAACAAAAACCAGATTAAAATAAAATCACTAATATTTAGTAAGAAGAAAAGAGATGAGAAAAGAGAAAAATAAAAATGTTTCAAAAAGAACCACAACCAATTCAATGGTCATGCGGCTGCCCCAGCAGCATCCTTTGCCATTCCACAGACAATGAACAATGGCTGGCATGCGTGGTTTCCACAAAACGACCGAAAATGCCTGATAGCTCATTCTCCTCTTTCCTCGCCTCTTCTCTTCTCCTTAGAGTAAGAGAAGAGGTGCAGGAGTGCCCTACCCTAACCTGCGCGGCCGCAGGATGTGCTGTTTCGGAGGAATGGTGCGTCCTTCTTGTTCCTTGGGGAGATTAGACAGGGGCACTTCCACCATGCCGAGGAAGTCATCACGAGTCAGCCTGTTCTCATCAAACACTTGTAGCACTAACTTGTGCTCTGCTGGCCGCACCTGTAACATCATCATGCACTCTGTACAAAACATACTCTTAATATGTAATTGTGAATAATATTTACAAGAACAGAGAATATAATTTAAATCTAATATAGGCTCAAAGTGACCATATAGTTCCACTAGAAAAAAACCTTTCCAGTGAACCTCAATATTTCATAACATACTATCGTAAATAATACAAAACTATTAGCCCCAGATCTGCATGCACTTCCATAAATAATGCATTGCAGAATCTTCATCCATTCAAAAATGGCAACTGCTTTAGTTTATGTGACTAGTCAGTACAGCTTTAAAACACCCTAATCACAAAAAAAACTTTTAAAAAACATATACTGAGTAAATGAATATGTGAAATGCAGCATGTATGAGCACTGAGTGCAGAAAAATACGAATGATAAGAGAAAACTAAATGTCATACTAATATTTTATTGAACCAATATAACAATAGTTTAATTCCTTTGAATAAACGAATTTTACAATCAATTAAATCAACAGCATCTCTGAATAAATGATCAGCAGAGGCAAGAGAAACTTGCTCGGCTCTATTTCACACAACAAATACAAAATTTGTGCAAGCCCAATACCATTTCGCAAATTTCTTCCTTTCAATATACTTAATAAGTAGAAAAATTCAGAAAACAGAAAGGAGAATGATTTTGTATTAAAAACAGTGACTGTGTGTGAAGAATACAAAATATGTTTTACAATTTTAGTACATCTTTCCTTGATAAATTCTGGATTACATCACAAATAGGATATTTGGACAACAGTCTCAGGCAAGGAAATTAGTAGCAACAAATTCCATGCTAACAATTTAAATTAACTAGACAGTGATATTAATTTAAAAAAAACAAAATTAACATTTACCAACTACACATGTTGAAACAACAAATCAATAAATTGAAGTATTAGTCAAAAAACGCATCACATTAATTTAATACCCTCAAGAATTATTGGTTCCGACACCAATACATGGTCTATTTCAAGCTTCAGTCAGTTGAAGATAAAAAAATAATGGATTATTAGTACAGTACATTATTATACTTGTTGCAATTTCTTGTTACTGTACATAAAATTTAAAAATAAGATAATAAAGAAAATTCAGTCATTGCTCTGATCTAATTACATAACTTTAATTTCAATCCTTTAATGAGTATAAATGGTAGTCAATTTAATTTTACTAAAAAATATAATTCTTCAAGTATTATAATGTAATGCTACGAAATACATACCCGGAAAATAAATTCTTCGTTCCACTGAGGATTGAGAGTCTGAAAAAAGTGAAGTATCAGTGTAATGTGTGTTTCAAATTAATAATGAATGTACCACTCTTTCACTACAAAATATATCTTGTACTTGCCTTTTTCTTGGTTTTAGTAAGAACAGAGTCAATTGTCTCGTCTCCATTGACAGTATTAAGATCAATTTTTACATATGGATCACTACAAAAACAAAAGAATGTTAAGCATTCACTATAAACACACTTATTCTGTAGACATGTGTAAAACATACAAGAAAGGTACCTAGCCCCAAATATGTCCTTCTTCGCTAACTGATGGCCAGCTATAACACGCAATCTAAGTTCACAAGTACCTTCCTCCATCTGCAAAAGGAAATTAATACATTTCATACTACAATAACATTATAAGAGGATTCCTATCATAGTACCATTTTAAAAAAATATTTATATAACAAATGTATGCTCTCTCTTTATTCACATTACAAAGTAGTGACACATGAAATATATTGGACATTTTCAAAAATATATTTTGATGTCATGTTCTTTCACATAGTATACTTAACCTTGAAAATATAATTTTGGTCAGGTACAGAGAGAGTTTTCTGCCGATTGTAATTTAAAGTAGTTATTTTGTTCTTAAAACTAAAGTAATTTACTAAGAATTGAAAGAACATGCAACTTATGAAAAAAATTGACAAAAGCACTTTAGTACTAAAATAACGTTTTAGAGAGCATTCGTAGCATATTCTTTGGACAAAAAATTAACAATAAACTCCAGTAAAATTGGAAAAAACATTCAACACTATAAAGTTCACAAACAGGAAAATTTATTTAAAACGATGTCACTGTCTCCAGTCGGCACAGTGTATTTTATTAATTTCTGGATCCATTCAATGTACACTAAAATACCACATAATGATATATAACCACTCAAAAAATGCAGCAATTACGTAAAAGATCACTGGAAGTGAAGTATAACTGGATTTGTGACAGCAGTATAACACACCTAGATGTCAAATTCATCTAGAGACTTACACGTTCGTGCATTCCCACAGACGGGACATAGCCGTATTCATTTCTTCCTGCCATCAACCTAGACCTACCTTCTTCAAATGGCATTTATTATTTTATTATAATTCTTCCGAACTTTTCCCTATCCCATTCGCACGGGGGTAGGGGAATAGGCCTATTCTGCAAACAGGATATTGTCCACCGACAGACATGTCTTGCAACAGCTGGATTCGAATTGATGTTAAAGACACGAGAACTCAATAAAATATGCGAAACTTCTTCATTTTAAATTGAATATAATTGTAAAATATTTTTCTGTTCTCAGAAGAGATACGTCAATGGTTCATTACGACATCCCATAACATAACTGACAAGTTGAACAATGACGTAATCGCCCAACAAGACACTTGCTCGCTTATTATGATACACAATCACATTATCTTTAGGTCATGAGGAGGCGTATTGGTAGTCTTAAGCCTAATTTTCAAGCAATTAACATTATGAGAATTGAAAAACCATCTATTGCAGCAATAATATGCCCTGCACCTATTAACGTAAATGTCACGAGAATCGCTTCAGGGCAACATCAAGACAGCCGCACGCTCACATATCAGAACTAATTCTTGTAAATTGTCACGTGCAAGTGTGAGTCAGTTGCAATGACTCATTAGGAATGGGATTTCTGAAAGATCAACTTTCAAATAGTTTCATGTTAAAGTTTATTATTTTTCATATTTCACACACTGCGAACGATGTTACACAAGTGTTAGTAATTACAAGATAATCGGCAGCAGGTGGATAGCGAAATATTTTATCTTTGAAAATTACATGTAGGTATTTAATTTCGTACTACATGAAATCTACCCAATGACAACCAAAAGTTCACAGAAACTCTCACTAAAGGAACTACTAGAAATTCTTTTGCACGTAGTAATATTTCCTTTCAGAAGTTCTTATCGCCCACTATATCAAATTGAAAACAGTTTTTACTTTCTTTTTATTATTATATATCGACTTGCTAGCATACAACCAAATGCCTTCTTTTCTAGGTAATGCCCTGAGAGAAAGTTCCGAATAGGTACGGTTTTTTTCGCTATCAATTGGCGGAACGCGATTCCCGTGGGTCATTGTGTCACACGTCCTCAATAGCGCCGCTTTATCGCATCCTTTATCGTTGACGTTATCTCTTTTCCAATCCCTCAAGGTATTTCGCCTACTTAGGAGAGATTAGAGAGCGGGCGCCGAGGTTCCCGCCGATCAGCGCGAGAAACTCCCCGCCCCCACCGCCACCCAGGGGCGACCGCCCGCAACATCCCGGAAGGAACAAGTCACGCATGCGCGTGCGTGCGAACGAACAAACGAGAGCGAGCACACTCCTGTCGAAACGCCTCCCCTCGGCGCGGCAGCAGCGGGAGCGACGTCCTCGACCCCTATCCCCTGCGAGGGGGCATTGGGCCTCCCACTCCCCCCCCACACACACACACACACACACACTCACGCAAGCGCGCTCGGCCCATCTCCGCGGCGCGGCGCGCTAGGTTGCCTACAACAGAAGATATTCACCGCAGGCGCCAGGCCGAAGATGTTGCGTCGCTGAGACAGGGCAATAGCGGGCGCGGACGACGTGGACGAAGTGGTGGACGAGCGGCGGCGGCCCGTCCAGGAAGCGCGGCGACGCGGCGGCGGCTGCGGGGGCGTGCCCGGGTCCACCACCACGGGCTCTGCGGCGGACGCTGCTGCAGCCATGGGTGCGAAACTGCATGCTCTCCGGCCCGACCGATCCGATCCACTTCCCTTCGCTCAGACGGCACGATGACCCTCCGGAATCGCCGCAGCCGCTGCCACCGCCGTCGCCGTGGCCGTGCCGGACGGTGACATGACGCCAAGGACGGGCTCCAAATGAGCCACAAGGTCGGCCCCCTCCGTCTGATTGCGGTTTATCGTCGAGGCCCGGAACGAGCCACGAGCGAGCGACGTAGCGGGCGCTGGCGCGCCGTCTCAAAGTTCGGGGGCCTGTTTGTGAGAGCGCCCGCGAGAGTGCTCCAGCGGCAGCAGCAGGTGCATTGGGGAGGGACGACCACACGCCACACCTCGTGCGTGGTACCATGAACGGGAAGGCTAGGTATTACATGTCTGGCCCGGTGATTCCCTCGTCTATCTTACCAGATTTTCATTGTTTCCCCGTTGTCTAAATGCTTGAACTGTCATTCTTTATAAATCATTGTACTACTGCACTCGCTTTTCCAATAAAAGTAGTCAAAAATTCCCTCTCTGATGACGCCCATGCTTCGTAAGGGGCAACCGATACGTAACGCAAATTTGGAGTATTTTGCTTACTCCCTCTCTACTCTGTAACGCACTCGTAACCGGAGGCGTATGGCATGAGCCATGAGTGCCACTCACAGGGAACCTATTGAGAGTATACCCGCTAAAACAAATAACAAAAACATAATTTGAAGTATCCTGACAGGGATAAATTCTATGCTTGCCATGGGTGCCTGAATACTACGATACGCCTCAACCCGTAATGTGCCCTTGAATCCCCCGTTCTTAATAATTTTGTAAATCTTGCAACAACATCCTTCCCACATTTACAAGAAGTAAACATACATAAAATCACAATAAAAACCAATTGTAATTAATTTCATTTGTGTTATACATTAAAATTACAAGCCACAGTAAGTTTTGCATGATGCTGGCAGCACCTAGCAATAAGATGGGGGCAATTTTTGTGCGAAAGGAGGATGCATAAATGAGACAATTTTTGATATGTATGTACTCACCGTCATGGATGTCACATGGGCAAGAGTCTTCTGCACCAATTTAATTGGATCCTACAATACCATTAAGATCAGTTTTGAAAAATTTCTGTTTAATCTAACAGATTCAATGTACTACTGTTAAAAAAATTCTCTTTATTGTAACAATTTATACATAATTACTTTTTAATTCATATTTTTTTAACATTTAATTAGTTAATATTTTTGTTTCAGTAGTCTAAAAAAGGAATTATTTCAGCCAATTCTGAAGAATTTAAAAAAATAAATATCAGCATTACAAAAACTCTAAACATTTCCCCTACCCCTACATAATACAGCTTAACACTGCATAATGCAGTGTTTTATAAGTTATTTGCACTGCACACCGCCCCCCCCCCCCTCTTTACAATTACACAATTTTTGGGAAAAACCCTTATCAGAAAGATGCAGGCCCTCATATTTGCTAGTAAATGCAATTTTAGTAAGTGTATGTTAATGTAACACTTCTAAAATTGTATCACATATTTCATTGGTAGAAGCTATGGAGCCACTAAAAAATCAATTGCTTTTAGAGGCAATAGGGTGCCTACACTGTCACCAAAGCAATCTAGATTTGAATACTGAACTTTCTCACTAAATATTTTTTACTTTAAACTATAAATTATATTTTCTTTTACCATCTTCTTTAAATTTGATTGACTGTATTAAATTACATATTATGAAATTATTTTTAACTCGTTAGAAATGGTGTGTTTTGAAGGATTCATTCATAAGTCAGCCAAAATATAAAAAAGTATTTTCTAAAAATTCTCTAGTGATAAACAAAAACATTAATTCCAAATGTTAAAATACATTTCAAAAAAGCTTTCATTCCTATTGGTAATTAAAAAAACCACATAAGTAATTGAAAGCCCTGGCTCTAAAATGTTGCTATCACATTCACCAATTTTCTGATCACCACAATTCCTCAAATAAATGTTCTTTAGAGCCACTCATCTAACTCAAAATTTTACTAGGCATGTGGGTAAGAAATGAAAAAACCTTATGGGGATAAAAATAAAACATTTTATTTTTCAATTTAATTTTGACATTGAAAGCCTTCCAGAACCATAAAATATAAAAAGATAAATCTAAATTCTCCATAAAGTAGCAGCTAATTTCAAACTGATAAACCAGAGTAAGTTTGGCACAGATCTAAATCCTATTAATAAAAAAATATGGCTTTCTTAACCTTAAATAAAACGACTTAGCATCTGAAAATAAAAGAATTGCACAAACATTTCATAGTATTCATGAGTTCAGAATTCTTCCAGGAAAGGTTTTTTTTTCCCTACAACAACTACTTTTGTAAAATGTGACAATGCCACAAAAGCTAACAGCAATTAGAGAAAAACTACAGCCAAATGACATGCATTACTGTTTTACAGGTAAAATAAAAGTAAGAAACAATTCTAAATTAAGCACTTATGTGATAAACATTCACTTTTAAAACCTTTGTAGAACACTGCTAAACTGAACTAATTAAGTATAAAAACCATTCCGATTACTGAGTCATGTAAATGTAACAAGTAATCTATATAGAAATATTTGACAGAATTGCAAACAGTTTCATCATTAAATACTGAACTTTCCAAACATTTGCATTTTGGACATTTTAAAAATTATTTTGATATTAACAATTACTAAACATTCAAGCAATTTTGATACTACCAATTTAAAATAAATGTAAAATACTGTAACACAAACTGTTAAAAATTTCACACTAATGTTTGTTAACATACTTCAAAAACAAAACTATCTACATTTATTAAGTTTTCAAGGCATATATTTATTTTCTTTACACCAATTTTAATTTTTAAGAAACCAAAATTCAGTTTAGACTATCCAACATTTAAGATTAGCAGAGTTCCACTATCAATGAGAACATCATTAAACAAATGGACCAACCATGCAGTATTTTCATTGCACTCTCCTAAACAAAATGAATACATATAAAATGAAATTACAAAAAGCAACTTGACAAAAAGTCTTAATCTTTTACACCACACTGCTGCTTTACTAACCATGTTGCTATTTCATTAACACATTACTAAAAGCAGCAAAATACTGAAAATGGCAGTCTTGTTCCAATTGCGTCAGCATAATAAGTGCAAGTATTAACAAAAACATTATGCAATACTGCACATGAATTAAGGTACAATTAGAGCATCTCAAATTTGCACCTTCAAATTCACCAAGTTATCACTAAATATAAAAACTTAATTATTTCTATTACTAATTGTATGATGAAAAGAACCTCTTTTTAATTTAAACATTTATTTGAAATCAAAGGAAAATGACAAAACAGGATCCAAACATAATGATTCATGGTCCTGTTAAATCATTCTATAAGATAAAAATCCAAAAAAATAATTTATATATTTTTGTTTCAAACTTTAAAGAGCAAGAAAATATCTGATATTAAGAGCCTGATTAAAGTAATTAAAGTTTTTTTTTCGTATTTAATGATATGAATACTTAAAAAGACCTAGGAAAGTATACTAAATATCTGGAAAAGATTTTCCCAAAAACTTTTCAATTCATTCTTTTCCTCAGAATAAAACATTCAAAATAATTTTAAAAACTTACAGTGGATGGGCAGATTCTCAGTCACTACGCTAATGCACAATTTGTTTCTTCAGGTTTTTTTTATGGCTACGAAGTTTGGCATAGATCATTTATTTCTTGACCAACTTATGCCACAAAAGAAACTGTTCTTTCACAGTGGTGCTGATAAATCTTATCAGCACTTGTGTAATAATAAAATTGTGTGCAATTCAGAACACAAAGATGGTATTGTACTGAGTCAAAATGCACACAGTCCCATAAATGGGAACCGATGACAATTAAAAAAATTGCTTAAGACCACAGACATACAGAAGAAGATGGTCAAACTCCTTCCAACTTGCTTGTCACCCTTAGAGGTAAGGCATCAATGTGAAGACTTGTGACCAATGAAATTAAGAATGTGGTTGGCTCTTAAACTTACTGAGGCCGTTTTATGAAAACTGTTAGCTTAATGCTTAAAGAAATGCATTTCACCAATTGAATCACTGCAACTGGTTGTTTTGCACAAGTGCCAATCTCATCCTTATCTTTAACTGGAGACATGTCGAGCTTAATATGAGCCTATTTCTCAGAGAGTGAAATAGGGTTTTCCCCTTGAGATCCTACATTTACACAGAACAAGCATGCATTTGTCACTTTCAGAAACACTTTCATGTGGTAGCATTTGCACATAAGGGTGTTCAAATATGCAAAACCGATTGCTGTAGTGCATCCATCATACAATAAATATCATAATCTTTTTTACTGGAATCAAGCAACATTTCTACTTGAACATCCATGTGCAAATGTAACAACACAACAAATATTAATATCTTGAATAATTGTACTCAACATTTAAGAACCTTCGGCCCTTAAAATGTCCAAGCTGTGAGCTAGGTACAGCTATGATAAAAGCCTGAAAAGTGATACACTCAAATTTGTACTTTTAGAGAGAAGATCTATAAGATACTTAAATCAATTAGTCAGTTTGAATTATAACATAGTCTGACAATGTGTTGAATGAAGTCTAATACTTCATTTCATACAGAAAGTCACAGAGTTATTGGATGAAATTGCAACTCTTTCTTCAGGAAACATCTATCTGAATTATCAAAATATATCTCTTTCCTACATCAATGACTTTCTAGTATTTATTTTAACATTTTACTTTCCTACAAAACTTCCAAAATATATATTGATTTTATTAAAAAACTGTATCAATAAAATCAGTCACAAACAACATTAAAATTTCGTTATAAAAATTGCTCAGGTGATGTTAACATCCAAAATTTTTAAAGCATACATATTATTCACACATTATAAAAGTTTTATTACACTGAGTCTATGGATAAAATGAACATTCACTTACTATTTAAAATTTAATATTAAAATAAAAGAAAATAAATTAATTATCAAATCATGAAAACAACAATATTTAGATTTTTCTTAAGTAATTTCTCCATATGCACACATTCACTCACACACACATCTTTTATCAGTACAAAATGGAATTTGGTCAAAAAGATATGCAATTCGCAGAATACCACACTGAAATTTCTAGCGTAAGAGAGGAAGGTACTGTTTTTAACAAATTTTTCAAATATGTTTTGTTAACTTCCAAAAACATTCCATTCATTACAAATCTTTTGAAAACAAATCCTCACAGATAAAACCAACCAGTTCACATGGTACACACAATGAAATGTGGAGGGCTTCAAACATTATGTAATACTCTTATTCTGCCTCTTTTTTTGACAATATAATACAGGACATAAGCTTCTGGTAAACTACAGCTGTAACAAAATCTCTGATGAACATAGTATGTGTACCATTTGGTTCTTAAGTATTCCAGACCCTTACGATGCAAATAGATAAAAGATCATTTAATTCTACATCTTGGAATAAAGTAGTATAACAATAAAGATCATATTTCCATTGGACTAATTTTTGGAAGGATTCCAAACATCGAATTGCATATTGAAAGGTTATGAGAGTTGATATTCACAAGGGTAGAGAAAATCTTAAGATTCTCTTACAATATGACTCTCCCTCATCCTGGAGAATTAAATATAAGAGCCTTACTCTCTAGACACCACAACGAATCCAACTGATTTCTTTCACATTTAAAATTGAAGTTTATTATTATTATTGCAATTTCACTGATACCTTGAAAGCAATATAGAGCACTACTATTTCCTGGATAATTTTCTTAATATTTTGATTTCTTACAACAATGCACTTCCCATTTATGAAATCCCATTCCTCTGTGAGGTTTTGTTTAGAACATTAATTTTTCCAAAATAAAAATTCACAAAACGGGCATATGTTTTAGGATGTTCACTCCATGTAATCAGGGAAAAGTTTAGATTAGATTTGAATCAGAGAGAGAAATCTTAAAGAAATCTAAACAAGCACTATACAACTCAAAAGTGCCCCAAAACAACCCATATTCAAATGCTCTCATTGTTAAGTTTTAGCTGTAAATGGCTAAAACATAGAAACTTTGTTAAAACCCCCATATGTATCATTCCACTACAATATACATAACTATTCATGCAAAAAAGGAAGAGGCTTTTATAATCTCATCTGAAGAAAATGGAGGAAAAAATATTTTATATTGGGGCCTCTTTTTAACTAAAAGGTTAAATAAATAAGATGGAAAAGAGATTATCACAGATAAGATTGTACATATTTATGGTATATGCAAATGACAAATTTAATTCGTTATATCTACCTGACTTTTAAGGTGCTATAAAACGTTCTGTATCTTTACACTGAGCTACTTCAAGTACTCGGTTTTGCTTTCATATTTGCACCCATTTAATACAATATTTACATTAACATTTTCAATATTTACATTACCAATATTACCACATATTGTCAAGCATATATTCACACAATGGAATATCATCTTCCTTCAAGCATTCTTTTCCATTCACACACAGACAAAATTGACAAATAAAACAAACCTAAACCGATATGCCACATAGGCCCTCATGCAAAATTTGCCAATGACAATATAAGGAACAATTACTATGCACATCTTTTGTACAACATATTTACATAAATGAAACATCAATATCCTCTTTAAAAAAACTTCATTTAAATTCAGTAGCATTGTTCACATGACCAGACCAAAAAAGTTTATTTATCACACACTGTGGTGAAGTAGCTTTGTGAACAACGTTCTGCAACATTTAATGCTGACCAGAGAAACATAATGCATTTTATTTTCTCATTATCTGTATCTTCATTACCATTGTAAGTATGAAAACATTCAGCAAGTTTAAAATCTACTTTTTTATGTACATATTATACATAATTTACAGTTTCTCAATATAATACAAACATAATTAGGACCTTCTTTGTTCAGGATAAAAATAAATGCACCTATTTTCAACCAAAATTAGAAGAACCAAAATTAAAGAACATAGAAAAACAGTAAAATTGTTTAGTACACCAAAATACCTTCCTAATAATCTTCATGAACACAAATTAAAACAGAACTTCTGCAAACTTTTATCAATGTCACAAGGGCAAAAAATAAACATATGATCCTCTTCAAGAATAGCATCCCAAACCCATTGGTTCATGCCTCGTTGGGATGAAGAGGAATCACAAACTTGGGCCCAAAAGGTGATGTATACTTGATACCAACATCACGAAAAACCTGCACAGGGCATGCCAAGTTGCACAGGTACAGTTTCCCATTCTCAGGGCGATGGGCTAAAGGAAGGAGCGGCAGTAGAGAAAACTTTGTATTGAGGCCAGGAGTGCTACTAGCAGGTGGATCCAGAGCCATCACAGCTGCACGATTGTCATTGGCCCACTTAATGGCAGCCAAATATGGTGTGCTGAGCATAGTTGGTACAGCACCTACGTCACCCACCAGAGCTCCCAATATCAAATCCACAGGCCCTGAAGGTAGATCTGCAAATTCCAGAAATGTATTATTTGTTTCTCATAGGCACTTATAACACCCTCAAAATTCCCACACTTTTTTAAGTATTGAATTTTTCTCTCTAAATATTTTATTTTAATGAACAAGTATAGCCAATGGGCAAAAGCCCTAACAGTAGCATAAAAAAGCCATTCCAGTTCCCAGAGCGCTCCAATGGGGACAGGGTATAATTGAAGCTCTATCTTGGGGCTAAAAAGGTTCTAACAATAAAATCCTAAATGATGAAACATTGGTATGTACCCCTCAATGGTATGCAACCAAGTCAATAAAGGCTTCTTACATCTGGACAAGCTTTCACAACAATTTTCTTCACAATTAAATGTATATTATTTCAATCATTAATCATTATTTATTAATCTTCACTATCATTTATTTCACTTTTTGTCGAAACTTCACCAACTTTTTTTTCTCAAAAAAGTTCGAAATTTTTGGTCCATTGAAGAGAATTTTGTTTCACTGTTAATACAATTTTTACAAATAGCGCCTGACAATTTGTTTACAACTTCTTGACTCCACCTACATCTCATTACAAGACAAGATGTGTATCCCTACAGCATTTGTGTGGTATTTGGGTTTATTTGTGGTATTTTATTTTACGTTCCTCAATTCGCACTCAACAGCAATCAAGCACCCATGAATTAACAACGAAATTGCAATGGCACAAAGTGGATGGTATCTACGTTTTGTCTTATCTGATTATCTTTTTAGGATTTGCAACATTTTTTAGCAGAAAGTGTATATGATATGAATATTGATTTCAGCAACAGCAATCCCACGATATGCAATATTTGAGCTGAATATGGACTAAAGTAGGAAGCAAAATAAAATTAAAAAAGAAAAAGAAGAAGAAGAAGAAAGAAGAAGAAGAAAGAAGAAGAAAGAAGAAGAAGAAGAAAGAAGAAGA